TCCTCGTCGCTCTTCGCTTTCTCGCTGTCGCTCGTCGTTGTCAAACGTCTTCGAATGCTTTCGAGGGCCTCTGGAGGCCTTCGGATGACCTCTGGAAGGTCTCTGGAGGCTTCAGAGGCCTTCTTAGGAGGCCTCCGGAGGCCTCGGGAAACCTTGGGAGACCTCCGGAGGCGTCGCTCGTCGTCGTCGCCTTCTTCGTCGTCGTCGCTCGTCGTCGCTTGTCGTCGTCATCGTTGTCGTCGTCGTCGTCGTCGCCGTTTTCGTCGTCGTCGTCGTCGTGGTCGCCCGTCGTCGTCGTCGTCGTCGTCGTCGTCGTCGTCGGTGTCATCGTCGTCGTCGTCGTCGTCGTCGCTTGTCGTCGTCGTCGTTTTCGTCGTCGTCGTCGTAGTCGTCGTGCGCGCGGACGCTGTGGTGGCGCCGGAACCGCACGGCAGGGGGGGGGGCGTTACGTTATACCCCCCCTTCCGGCCCCCCCCCCGCCCATAACGCCCGTTATCGCCGCGAATGCAGAAACGCGCTCAGGGAAGGCTCAGAAAGCTTCTCAGACGGCCAGGGGACTTCCGAGCCTTCTGAGAAGGCCCGCCCCTTCTCACTTCCCCCCCTCGCTCGCCGCACGGGCACGCACTTGGCCCCGCCATGGCGCGAAGGTACCCGCCCATCGCGCATCGCCACCCCAGCCGGTCGCCGCGGTGCCCGCCGCGTGGCGGGAGCCCCGCTCGTGCTTCCCCGAAGCGGGTTCGGCCGTGCCGACATTCGCGCGCAAGTTTCCTGCGTAAGGTCGCGTGTGAGCGCCCCCGTTTCCAGTGTCACTGTTAAGTCGGGCCTTTTCCCCTACAGGGGGATCTTCGACGAAAAATAAATTACCCCAGTGCGACCCTACCTAGAAGTTGGAGCCCCTAGGAAAGCAGCATTAGTTGCTATGCTATGCTAGAGTATGCCATGCTATGCTGCGCTGTGCTATGATATGCAATGCTATGCTGCGCTATGCTATGCAATGCTATGCTAAGCTAAGCTATACCATGTCATGCTGCGCTGTGCTATGATATGCTATGCTATGCTATGCTAAGCAGCGCTATGCTATGCTATGCTATGCTATGCTTTGCTGTCGCTGCTGCTGCTTTGTCTTTGCTTTGCTGCTTTGATATGACATGCTCTGCTATGCTATGCTATGCTATGCTTCGCTGTGCTATGCTGTGCTGTGCTGCGCTATGCTCTGCTACGATATGCTATGCTGCGCTATGCTATGCTATGCGGGGCTATGCTATGATATGCTGTGCTGCGCTATGCTATGCTACGCTGTGCTGTGCTGTTCTATGCTATGCTAAATCTCAGCGAAGCTAAGATGAAGGCAAGCTAAGCTAAGATACACCTGAGCTAAGATGAAGTAAGCTAAGTTACTATGAAATAAACTAAGCTAAGATGAGATCAGCAACGCTAAGCTAAGGGGACGCAACTGGAGGAACCGCGGGGCGGATACTGTGGGAACCGCCCGGGGCGGGTAGCACTGCCCGGCCCCTTTAAGCTAGAGAGTAAGAACCCTTCTAGGCAGAGCCTAGGTAGGGAAAAATACCCCCAAATAGTCCAAAAATGGTATGGGGATTATTTTTTGATTATCTTTTTGACCTTTTTTGAGTATTTTTTTGTTTTTTTCCGTCCAAGATCCCCCTGTAGGGGGACACGCCCGACATAATTCCAGTGTGGCGTGCCGCGATGGCGGCCCGCGGGAGCTCCGCCCTTCTCTTCGACGAGGGAGACTCCAGGCCTCCCAAGTAGGGTCCAGGCAGATGGAATCGGAGGCTTGCGCCGCATCGCCGATGCATCGGTGATGGTAATGCGGCTCGATGTGGAGCTCGATTTTTGTTCAACGCGGACGTCGCCGATGCATCGATGACGTCGCGGATGCATCACCGATACATCGCCGATGCATTGGCGATGCGGCGCAATCCTCCGACCCCATCGACCCGCGTGGCAGGAGTCCTGCTTTTTTGGCGATGGAGGGGCGACGAGGAAGGGAACACTGTGCCTCCCTCCTCGCTTCTCCTGCCAGGACAAGCACAGCACGTGGAGGGGTCTGGGGGGGGATGCAGCGGAGGCCTGCCCCGTGTCGGGTCCTCGGGCCATCACAGATCGATTTGGATCGGAGAGTGCTGTAGAAGCATGGAGCATTACCAAGATCCCCGACGTCATGTTTTTTCACAGTGTCGCCCCCTTGAGGTCTCCACCCACCCCCCGGGGCCGGTGTTTCATTCCGAGTCGTTCTTTGATGGTCCCCAGGCCCGGGAAGGGCCTCCGGATGCCGAAAAGATGGAAAACCTTCCGTTGTGCGTTTTTCTTCCTGACCCGAGGGGGTCTGGGTGGGGCTGCGGGTGCCATGTCTCGCGAGGTTGCAATGTCTTCCGCCGCGCGCAGCGTGGGTGGTGTGTGGCGGTGAGCTCTGGCGGGTGCGCGCCGAGGCACAGTTTTGGCACTCGCCAGGCGGCGGGGGGGTCGCCCGCGGGGCACGGGCCCTTCGGACACCGCTGAGGTCACCTGGGCGGCTGCTGCTGGGGTGGGTTTCAGTGGAGACCCACGCCACGAAACACCGAGCTTGCCTCCAGGGTGCCCATGGGCGTCCTGGGGGGTCTCAGGGTTGGGCTTCCTGCGGGAGGTTTCTGGTGCACTGGCCTCCGCTGGATGCCTGGCCTGCAAATCAGGAGTGGGTTACAGGTGCCCTGAGGGGTCTGTGGGGTCAGAGTGCTCCCTCAAGCGGGCTCTGCCCACCTGGACCGCTTAGGGCATCTGCAGCCCACTAACAAGTGGGATGAGTTCAGATACCGGCCTCAGAATCCACTTCGAGCCCCTTTGTCCCCTCAGCAACCCCCGCGGTCATATCAGCGGGGATGCTCCGTGAGCGACGCAGAAAAACGGGCTTGACCGTGCCGACATTCGCGCGTAAGTTGCCCGCTTGCAGCGTGGCTTGCTGCGCTGGTGGCCCGCGTAGGCTGCAGGGTAAGGCCGCTGTGTCATCCCGCGCAAGACCCGTTTGTGACGTCGATCACCGTTCTTTTCGAAGAGGGAGAAGGCACGAGCCAGGAGACGGCATCAGCCCAGGGGCAACGATAGGAGGGGATAGGCATATGAGGGGGCCTGTCACCGATCAAGTGGCGATGTATCGCCGATTCCAGGTCGATGTCCCCCTCCTTCGTGGGCCCTGGATACAGACGACAAGGCAGTTTTTGTTTACCGGTTCCGGTTTGCTTTTTTTGGCGGTTCCGACGCCGTTTTTGTTGCCGGTTCCGTCGCCGTGTTTGCCCGTCTCCAGCTTCGGTGCCAATCCTGGAGCCGTTTTCCTTGCCGTTTCCGGTCGCCTATTTTCTAGAAGCAAATCAAGAGACAGTTTTTGCGGAAACGGTGCAAAAACGGCCCCGCCGCTTCCGGGGCCCCCTAAAAGCCCCCCCCTCCCCTCTAGGCCTCCTAGATGGGATGGGGTCCGAGTAGATGTGGTCGGAGGATCGCGCAGGATCGCCGATGCATCGCCGATGCGGCGCGATGTGGGGCCCAATTTGCTTCACGTCGCCTTCGCCGATGCATCGCATCGCCGACGTCGACGATGCATCTCCAGTGCATCGCCGATGCATCGCCGGTGCATCGTCGATGTATCGGCGATGCGGCGCGATCCTCCGACCCCGTCTACTCCCACCCCATCTAGGAGGCCTCGAATGTCAGTCCCCCCCGATCGTTGTCCCTCATGAGCAGAGGCTGTCGGCGATGCCGCGCGGGATCCCCGCGCGGGCGCGAAGGTGACCGCGCCTCGCGCGGGGCGCGGGGCGCGGGGCTGGGTGACAGATAAGACGGCAGAAGCATTCCTGAGGAGGAATAGGAGGAGGAGGAGGAGGAGGAGGAGGAGGCGGAGGAGGAGGAGGAGGAGGAGGAGGAGCAAGAGGAGCAAGAGAGAAAGGAGGGAGGAGGAGGGGTGGAGAAGGAGGAGGAGGATGGGGATGGGAAGGAGGAGGAGGGGGAGGAGGAGGAGGAGGGGGAGGAGGAGGGGGAGGAGGAGGGAGAGGAGGAGAAGGAGGAGGAGGAGGAGGAGGAGGAGGAGTAAGAGGAGGAGGAGGAGGAGGAGGAGGAGGAGGAGGAGGTCCGCGCGTATTTCTCGGATCGTCGCTGGACCTCCCCTCTATCTTGCACCTTCTCTCTGGATCTTCCATTAACATTTCGGCATCCCAAGACATGTCATTGTTGCGCGAAGCGCGCCAGGGACGGCGCCGGAGGCGTCGCCGAGGGGCCATCTCCGATCCACGAATTCTGTGCTGACCTCCGGCATGTTATGTTGATGCACCTTTTTGTCAACACCACGTGCAAGGCAGGACTTTTTCCAGATCCGCCGGAAGATCACGGGGAGTGGGGAACGCGTCGGCCCACGGCTGCAGCCTCGAGCACCCGGACCTTTCCTCGGTCCCCAGGATGATTTGGTTCGCCCTCCGGCAGTTGTTGCTCTGCTGTCCCCGGGGGGGGGGTCGAGCATCAGCTTTCGGAGCCCGAGGTCGATATGCTCGATGTGCGACGAGGGGAGTTCTGGGTTCTCGCCCCCCTGTCCGGTGGCGCTCACCCAGGGGGAGGACATCTAGGTGGGCAGGTGGCTGTTTGGAGGGGCCCTCCTGCCCTCAAGACGTCCACTCAGGAGTCTCCGGTCTCTCTCTCTCGGACGCCCCGCTGCCTCCTCGGAGTGAGAGAAGGTGAGGGCAGTGACTGGCTCAAGACGTGGACGGGCTCTCGGAAACGCATCGGAAGCCCACCGGAGACGGATCTGGTTTGGGCACGCGGGTGAGGATGTCGCAGGCGAAGCCGATGTGCTCGCGCTGAGTGCGTGAAGAGGCGCTCAGGAACTCCCAATCAAGCCGCTCCGGAGGCCCGTAGCTAGTGAGGAAGGACGTCCCCCCCAAAAAAGTTGCATCTTTGGCCACACCCCGGGATCAACTCATCCGAAGCAACTGAAAAGCGGGGCCTCGCCCTGCCCCCTCATGCTGTTCTACCCCGGCCGGCGTCCTCTCCAGCCGCAGCTTCCGCCGCCAACGCCCGGGCTGGACTGGAGCTTCGCCGGCGCCACGGGGAACGAGACGACGGTGCTGCTCCCAGACGCCCCCCAGCTGTACGCGAGCTGAGGCGGCCTGGAACCCCCCTCCTCCTCCTCCTCCTCCTCCTCCTCCTCCTCCAGCTTCCTCTGGTAAGGCTTCGGATGGTGCACAGACGCCCCCCACCCAGGTAGTCCCGGCTGGCCTCAACAGCCCCCCCGATCAGTGTCCAGCTAGCCTTAACAGGTTCCCCAAGTCGTCCGGGGCGGTCTCGACACCTCAACCCTGTGGCGCGGAGCGCCGCAGTAGCGCCGTTGAAGGCGGCGCCAGGGTGTAGGGACCGGCTCGGACTACTCGGGGGGCCTGCTGAGGCCAGCTGGGAACACTCGTGAGGCCTGGTGAGGCCAGCTGAGTCTACCTGGGGGGCTGTCTGCGCGCACCCCGAAGCCTTACCAGCCTCCTCCCAGGACCTCCTTCGCCGTCTGCGCAGATCGCCTAACAAGATTTAGGTGTTCGATGTTGGCCCCCTTGTCAAACGCAAGCGTCCAGCTTTTTCGTAGAAGATCGCGTCAAACCGCAGAAGATCGCAGGAAACCGTCGAAGTCCCTGGGAAACCGCCGAAGACCACCGCCAGAAACCGCCTGAAGACCTTCGAAGATGGCCGAAGACCGCCCGAGGCAGACGGGCCCGTTTCGGGCCCCGGAATGGAAAGGGCGGGCTTAAGGAAGGGGCGGGGAGGGCGTTGGAGTCGGGTCGAGAGGTGAGGGAGAGGTTCGCTCGAGGCATCGTTCTGTCGCCTCCAGCGGTCGTGCCCCGTTTCGGGCAATAAGGGGTCCCCGGTCGAATACGTAGCAAGATCGCGGCAGTGTTCAGTTCTTGTCAAAAGTGTCTGACATCTGGAGGCCCTAGGTCCGTGAGAATCTCCTCCATGGAGATCCCCGCTAGGGTAGCTGAGGGGATAGGAAGGTTCGAAGTGAATGCCACGGTGGGTCACATGTGCCTCAACCTAGCTCCTCCTCCTCCTCCTCCTCCTCCTCCTCCTCCTCCTCCTCCTCCTCCTCCTCCCACTCCTCCTCCTCCTCCTCACCCTCCTCCTCCTCCTCCTCCTCCTCCTCCCCCTCCTCCCCCTCCGCCTCCTCCTCCTCCTCCTCCTCATCCTGCTCCCCCTTCTGCTCCCTCCCTCCCTCCCTTCCTTCCCTCCCCAACGAAAAGGGCTCCTTCTTCAGCGGCACGACTGTAAGCATCGAGCTTTTTCGGGGGGTCCGCGGCGAAGGCGAGGACCGTTGGGTCACATATGCCTTAGCCTGGCAAGTGCATTACACGTGCCCTTATTTCAGCAATTTGAGGTGATTCGCTGTCTCCGCGAAGTGGGCTCCACACACTTAGACCAGAATCGCACCCCTTCCGCTGAACCACTTAAGGCATTTGCAACCCGCGAGTCAGCGAGGTTGGGCCAAGTAGAACCCACCTTAGCATCCGCTTCGAAGCCCCCTGTCCCCTTAGTATTCCCGCGATCATCCAAGCAGTCTCTTCTCGTCTCTTCCCGTCGGGCTACTCTCGCTCCTGGTCCTATCCGCGTTCCCTCTCTTATTCGGTCATGCCAATGCGGGACGCCTCTGGGTAGTATTATATGTGTTCCAAGCGTAGCTCAGCAGCCGATGGAGCTCCTCGCTCACACCTGCCGCATCCAGTCCAGTCCAGCCCAATCCCCCTCCTGATCATTCCACAACTCTCGGTATTCTTCCTCCTCCCTTTCTCGTTGCCTATACTTCGACCGCAGGGTCGTTGCGTCGATGAGCGAGTTTATGCAGCCGCAAGAGGAACGCTTCACGCCACCTGCGGCAGCAGCCGAACAGGGAAGACGCAGGCGATGAGACAAACAGAGAGAATGCGATCCCACAGCGGTTCCACCCCTCGTTTCCGACAGGGCCCCTTCTGGTTCGATCGATCCGATCCGATTTCGGGTTCGCCAGGCTCGACCCTGTTTTCGATTTCGATTCTCCAACGACCCGATGATGCGGCCCGAGGCTTGCAGGGCGCGACCGCACATCCTGGCACAGACCATCCCGTTCGATTCCGACTCCGTGCCGACGCAGCCCGATCCGACGCGCAGTCCGATTCGATCCGACATCCCGATTCGAGGTTGATGGATCTTTCCCGCTATTCCTCCTCCTCCTCCTCCTCCTTGCCCACTGGAGCTTCCCCCACCCTCTTGTTATTCGTGGAACCCGCTTGGGATTCGGAATGCTTCGCTCGCTGACCCGAACCGCACGACGCAGATCGAAACGAGCCCGTTCGAAGCCGAAATCGGGTTTCTGGTTACGACGCTATGTCGATTAGGGCCGGTGTTTTGATGGGGGATGGGTGGTCGACTCGTGTGAAAGCGGATGTCATGGTCACCCTGGTGTCATCGTGCCATGGCCTCGGCGCTTGCTGGGGCGCGCTGATGTTTGCTTTCGCGGTGGACCGTTGTAATTTCAAACGTCGTTAAACCGTCCATCATACATTTCGGTGCAGGCACGCGACATGTTTATATGGACCCACTGGAGTGTCACACGCGTCCAGGACCGTCTAACAGAGTCAGCGTCAGACGCATGCGACTTGTGTTCGGGATCTGTCGAGTGTCAACCGATTTCGTGACTGCAGTACAGGCAGGTGCAGACGCATGCGACACGTTTGTGGAGTACATATGGGGCATATGACCGTACACCAGACATCGTTGCAACAACACGTGCGAGCGGCTCGTTGTCAGTTGCTCGTTATCGATCGCTCTTTTGTCGTGTGTTCTTTTGTCGAGTGCTCGTCTGTCCCGTTCGCTGGGCCAGCACGTGCTCGTGCACCGCCAATTATACTGTTGTTTGTTCGTGGGGGCGAGGCGGTGCCGACAAGATGTGCAATCGTTCTTTGGTTGGTCGCTCGCACGATTGTTCCACGGTGTATGGGGTCCTCAACTACGGCCACCAGGTGTGTGTGTGTGTGTGTGTCTTCGCACTGCGTCGCAGCGCCCACTTCGCCACACCCTCAACACGTACCGTGTGAGATAGGAAGCCTCAGCTACGGCCACAGGGTGTCTGTCCGCATGGCGTCGTCGCGCCCACTTCGGCACAGCGCTCACACGTTTACGCCCCTGCTTGTTTTTACATTAGATCGAGGGCTATGCAATTCCGAAGCCGCCAGTTACGCAGGGCCGCGCCAATGGGGTGTTCCGATGACGGTGTTCATGGGCTGCACATTGGCTGCGCCGTCTGTTCGCTTCAGCATGCCCTGTCTGCAGGCTGCCCGCGAACAAGCTGCGTAGTGCCCCCGTCCTTTTGCCAACGCACCCACTGTCGGGGCTCCCAGAATGAGCCAACCCTGGCATCTCCGCGTCCAGCAGTCGCGCTCATTTGCCCCTCGCTTCCTATGCTCCCGTTCTGTTGGCCTACCACGTCGTCCCCCCAATGTGCAAGTAGCCGTATCGTGCTGAATTCGACTAGGCGCGGCCCGGGCGGAGCTGTCCGCAGTGGAGGTTTCTCAGGAGGCGCGCCAGCAGCCCCGCCCGCTTCAAGCGAGAGCGCCCTGTTCGTACCGCGGCTCGTGCACATTGTGCGATTGCCTTGGGGGAACAAGTCACACGCTGCACCACGGGCACCTCGTAGTCCATGCGGTAGGTTCGTGTCGTGTCGACTGGCGGCGACCCCGCCGCGGGCGTTTAACGTTGAATGCTGCCAGTGGCCTATAACCGGTAAACAGGGAATCATCTGGCTATGACAAATTCGCTGATCTTTCAAGGTTGAACGGTCCACGCGGTGTCAGAACCACCGCCGGGGTCGTCACGACACGAACCTGACGTACCCCTTCTTTTCTCTCGTCCCTCTTGTCACGTTCGCGGGCCAGTGCTGAAGAGCACAATCATGCACCATCCGAATCCCCTGACGAAGCATGAGGATGCAAGCTGGCTGCAGACGCATATTCAGTTGTTTCACTTGCGAGCTCAACGCGTTCGCGAAAGCGTACATGGCGCGTTCCAGAATGGCCCCCGGGCTCATCTCGACCGGCGGGGGCTTTCAGAGGGCCAGCGGCAGCAACATGGCGGCGAGTCCGCCGGCGGAGGGCGGCGGAAGCAAAAGTGAGGCGCCAGCTTTCTCTTGGGGACGCCGTGCCGGGCTTCCGGAGACGGCCAGGTGGCCACGACTTCTCTCAGGGGCCCCGCGGCAGTGCCAGACGTCCGTTTCTTGCTTTCGTTTGGCCTCTGCCCCAGGCGGCCCTGCCAACAGGGCGCCTTGCCGCAGAGCAGGGACGCCGCGGCTGCGTGTCCACGGTGCGCAGCGCTTCGCTAGCAAATCATGGGAGTTTTGTGTACCTTCGTAATGTGTTCTTCAGCGCCAACTAGTCGATTCGCAGGAGCCGACAACAAGATGGTCCCGGAGGCTGTCATGAGTTGCCGCCTAGCCTTCGGGTCCAGACGGAGCGCCCGGCCTCGTTGCGCTTTGAGCGGTGCGATTGTGTCGGCCCCTGTGCTTCCTTCTGCGGCTTGTGTAGGTTCAGGTTTTTGGGGGGGCTCACGACGGGGAAGCTCTTGGTTTTTCCATGCTCGGGGCCGTATGTGTCGCGACTGAATATATGATTGGGCTGTTCCTTGGTAATTTGGTTGGGCATTCTTCGCCCGGGCCTGCATTTGTTTAAGAACATGAGTTATTTTAAGTTTGCCTTTCGCTAACTCTGACCCCCAGAAGAATGCCCCCCAGTAGCAGGCGAATGAGCAGTGGTCTCCCTCTGCCGTTCCCGGTTCCCCACCTCTTTCGCAGGAGGAGGTCCTTCCAGTTCGCGAGGTGTTATGTCGCGTCTGTGATCTTCGTGTGCCGTCTGAGTTCCCTCGCCCAGCCCTCGCGCAAGAACAGCTTGGACCCTGGACCCTCAGAGGTTGCAATCCGAGCCGGATTCTGCGCAGATTGAGGACACCCTGCGAACGGAGGCCCCAAGCAGCAAGCGAAGGCAAGTATCCACCGTGCCACGCATGGTGCGGCACACACGGTGTGGCACACAAATCGGGGCCCGCAATCACCAGGAGGTGTTTTTCTCTGTCCAACGGCACCCTCCGTCTCTGCCTCGACGGGCCCAACCTCGGCGCAATCACCGCCTGCCGACTATTGGAACCTGGAGACAGGGGCCTCACATCCCTCAGGGTCAATTCGGTATCGATTCTGACCGGCCCGATCTTTTCCGACGCCGGCATCCCGACGACCCGATGCGGCCCGATGCTTGCATGGCGCTGTTGTGCATCCTGACGCGGCCGATGCGGCCCGGCTCCGACCCGTGCTGACGCAGTCCCTTCCGACGCACGTTTCAATCCGATTCCGACTTCCCCATTCGACGCCGACCGATCTTGCCCCCCCCATTCTTCCTCCCTGGAGAAAGAGAGAGAGAGAGAGAGAGATAGAGAGGAGCGAGCCCACCGGGCTCCCTCCCCCCAGACAGCCGAGCGACGCAACAGAAAAAGGGGTCGCCTTCACCGACTCTGGCGCGCAAGCTGCCCGCGAGAAAGGATCCGCGTATAAGCGCCCTCGTTTCCAATCTAGCGTGGCGCGCTGGCGGCCCGCGCAAGCCACCGCGTAAGGCTGCTATGCCGTCGTGCGCAAGACCCCCTGTCTCCTCGTCGCCCCTTCGAGGTCGCGGCCGCGTCCACAGCGCGGCTCCCCGACTCGACCCCGACCGATCCCGTTTCTGCCCTGCGCCCTTGCGGCTGGCCCGAGGGGCGGCGGAGGTGCTCGTTGGCTCCCGTCCCACGAGCTCTGGCGGAGAGACCCGCGCGCGCGCGCCAGAGGTTGGTGGAAGAGGAGGAGGAGGAGGAGGAGGAGGAGGAGGAGGAGGAGGAGGAGGAGGAGGAGGAGGAGGAGGAGGAGGAGGGGGGAGGGGGGAGGGAGGAGGAGAGGAGGAGGAGGGGAGGAGGGGGAGGAGGGGAGGAGGAGGAGGAGGAGGAGGTGGAGGAGGAGGAGGAGGAGGAAGAGGACGGAGGAGGACGGTTTACTTCCCCACATGTTTCGTGGGGTTTTGGTTTTCTTCCTTGCCGCGTCGCACCCGCATCTAACACACACCTCCCTCTCCCGCAAAGCGTGGCAGACATGACATACACAGGCACACCGACACAGACATAGACACACAGACACACAGACACACACACAGACACAAACACACACGGACACACATACACACCCTCACCCACGCGCAACATTTGCACGGCACGTACATGAGACACGCGTAGCACATTTCACAACACAGCGCAGCGCAGCACAACACAGCGCTGCTCAGCACAGCTCAGCTCGGCACAGCACAGCACAGCTCAGCACAGCAGAACACACAGGGCAGGCGCGCAGGGCACGGCAGGCGTGACCGCATCGCACCACACACACACCACACGTCGGAGAGCGTGGCAGGCCCCACATAGAGGGGCACGTGGCAGGCGTGGCACTTTCTCGACACCAGAGGGGGTGCGCAGGGGGTGGTCTCTCACCGCGGTCCCTACACGCGCCAATGTCGCAGGGCGTAGCAGGCGTGGCACTTTCTCGACACCAGGGGGGGTGCTCAAGGGGGTGGTCGCTCACCGCGGCCCCTTTACGCGCCAATGTCGCAGGGCCTAGCAGGCGTGGCACTTTCTCGACACCATTGCGGGTTCGCAGGGGGTGGTCTCTCACCGCGGCCCTTACACGCGCCAGTGTCGCAGGGCCTAGCAGACGTGGCGCTTTCTCGACACCAGAGGGGGTGCGCAGGGGGTGGTCTCTCACGGCGGTCTCTATACGCGCCAATGATGTGGCACTTTCTCGTCACCACTAGCAGGCGTTGCACTTTCTCGACACCAGAAAGGGTGCGCAAGGGGGTGGTCTCTCACCGCGGTCCCTGTACGCGCCAATGTCGCAGGGCTTAGCAGGCGTGGCATTTTCTCGACACCAGAGGTGGTGCGCAAGGGGGTGGTCTCTCACCGCGGTCTCTATACGCGCTAGCAGGCGTGGCACTTTCCCGACACCAGAGGGGGTGCGCAGGGGGTGGTCTCTCACCGCGGCCTCTATGCGCGCCAATGTCGCAGGGCCTAGCAGGCGTGGCACTTCCTCGACACCAGAGGAACTGCGCAGGGGGTGGTCTCTCACCGCGGCCTCTATACGCGCCAATGTCGCAGGGCCTAGCAGGCGTGGCACTTTCTCGACACCCTACGGGGGAATGCGGAGGGTGGCCCCTCATCGCGGCTGCTATATGTGTGCCGGTCGTCGAGGCATAGCAGGCGTGCCATTTTCTCGACACTATACACCTTAGGCGATGCTTAAGAAAACCTAAGTTTTCGTCCAGAGTCTCGATTATTCTTAACGTTTCAATGTAAATCTTAAGATTTTAATTGGAATGCTGGGTTGTTACTCAAGTTCTGAGACTCTGAATTTCTTAACCCATGATTTCTTAAGCATTTCGCAGGGTGTAGGGGGTTCGCAAGGGGTTGTCCCTCACCGCGTCCGCTATGTGCGCCGGTCGTCCAGGAGCACAGCAGGCGTGGCATTTTCTCGGCACCATTTGGGGGTTCGCAGGGGGTGGTCCCTCACCGCGGCCGCTATGCGCGCTAGAGGCTAGGTCCACGCAGCTCGGGCTAGAACCGGAGGACGCGTCGAAGTTTCTCGACGAGATCAAAGCCGTGATCGACGCGCACATTGTTTTCAGGACGGTTGAGATGAGAGCGTTGGGTCGAAGCGCGACCGGCAGCACGAACCTCGCTTGCGGAGATTGGGTTTCGGAACTGTTACATCGCCCAAAAGTCTTCCATCGAAACGCGCTCCCCGAGACTTTGCGTCTAATGCGGTTTCATGCTCTTTGCTTTGCCGCGCATGCCTATCGAAGGGGAGACTTCCTGTCTAAAGGGGCTTCTGGCTCTTTTCCTTGCCGCGCACGCGAATACTGCAAGGCGAACGCGCGTCAGACCGCGGCGAGGGAGAGAGCCAGAGAAACAAATATAGGGAAAGAAAGGAGGGAGGTTGCAATGCAACTGTTGCGAGCCGGCGAAGAGGATGGCGAAGCAGGATGTGACGTGGTATGTGAAGACACGAGGCATAAAATAAGCATGTGGGGTTCCTCGGTAGCGTAATCGATGCTCTATCCATTTAGTATGCTGTACGCTTTCAATGATTCAGTCGTCCATGTATCTATTTCCGCATGTGCATCCGTATGCCCGCGCGGTGCGCGGGGGAACCTGGCCAGGGCCAGCGGGTGAGGGGCCGTGCCCGGCCTGAGATGCGAACCGAGCAACGAGAAACGAGGGAGGGAGGAGGGAAGGAGGAGAGAGGAGGGAAACGGGAGGGATGGGGGAGGAGGGAAGGAGGAGAGAGGAGTGAGGAGGGAGGAGGGAGGAGGGAGGAGGGAGGGAGGGAGGGACGGAGGGGGAGGCGGGGAGGGCGGGAGGGAGGGAGGGAGGGAGGGGGGGGGGAAGCAGGAGGAGGAGGAGGAGGAGGAGGAGGACGAGGAGGAGGAGCAGGTCGGGCACACGCCCCCCTCCCTTCCCACCCGCCCCCAGCACGAGTTGGTGTTCAGGAGGCCCCCGCGGTCCAGAGGGGCGAGCTGCTGGTCGGCGGGCCGCTGCCGCCGGACTTCGAGGAGCGGTTCGTGGAGGGCGTGTCGGAGGCCCCCCACCCCTCTCCCCTGCTCCTCTGCAGTCACGGAGGGTCGTTTTGGGCTCGCTTCCCCTCCCCTCCCGTCCTGTATTTTCTCCCTCCCTTCCTCCCTAGTCCTCCCTCCTCCCATCCCTTCCTACCTCCCCTTGTCCTCCTTCCTCCCTTCCTCCCTTCCTCCCTCCCCTTTCTTCCTCTCTTTCTCCCTAGTCCTCCTTCCCCTCCTCCCTCAATCCTGCACATCCTCCTGCGCGGATGTCTGGGCCCCCCTCTCGGCTTCACATACAAATATGCTTCTGCGTCTGCCAAAAGGGGCGACACGCGCGCGCAGAACTCTTCTAGTATAGATGCTTGGCGGCGGGCGCTGTCTGGCCAAGCTGCTGTGGTGACGATATGCTTCAAGCTGGCTGTACTATATGATCTGAACGGGCGCACGCCTCCAAAGAGGACGCATATTGTTACAGTCAACCCGCATAGTAAGGATGGGCAACCTTCCCAAGGGTACCCTTGCACCCTTGCCTCATCGGCTCATCCTTGGCTGCTTCCGTTGGCCGCGCCCCGCTTTCAGAGTGTCGACATGGCCTCCCAAGACCCTTTCATCATCATCGCGCGTTCTTCTCCTGCTCCTACTCCTCCTTGTCCTCCTCCTCCTCCTCCTCATCCTCCTCCTCCTTGTCCTCCTCCTCCTCCTCCTCCTCCTCCACCTCCTCCCTCCGCCTCCTCCGCCTCCTCCTCCTCCTCCTCCTGCTCCTCTTCCTCCTCCGTTGACTGTATTGCCTCCTGCGCCCCGCTCTCCTCCCTGCACTCGGTGGCCCCCGCGCGCGAAGCAGGCCGCCCGAGTCCCGGCGGAGGCGGTGCGGGTGCTCCGCGTCGGCCCGGCCGAGGATGCAGAGGCGCGGGCCCAGGGGGGAGGAGGAGGAGGAGGAGGAGGAGGAGGAGGAGGAGGAGGAGGAGGAGGAGGAGGAGGAGGAGGAGGAGGGGGAGGAGGAGGGGGAGGAGGAGGGGGGGGTCCGTCGCGGCCTCCTGCGCTTGCCAGAACCAATACTCAACGACGACGACGACCACCACGACCACGACGACGGCGGCGACGACGACGACGACGACCACGACGACGGCGGCGACGACGACGGCGGCGACGACGCCGACGGCAACGACGACGACGACGACGACGACGACGCGAGGGGCTCAAGCAGCGCCCCCGCCGCGGCATTCCAGCGCAGTGCGCGAAGTCGGCTGCCGCGGCCGTGCGGCAAGAGGGTTGGAGCCGGCTGGAGGTCGGAGGGCAGTGCAGTGGGTTAGATTCGAGGTGTTGTGTTCGAGGCTGTTCGTTG